CAGGAATGGGAGAGTGGTTGTTAGTGAGCTGAGTGGAAACAGGCTCACTGACAACCAGGTGGGTCCTTTGGGTGTGGGTATATGGCTGAATGCATCAGTATGTCAGCATCCCGTAAGTCTTTTTGAAAATTGAGAAGAAAACATTCATCTGAAGCGTTAAACAACATTTCAACTCAGAGTATTGCTTAGGGCATAGAAGCATTCTAATGTTTTGCTCTTTGCATAGGGACTCCTCAACAGGTGGTGACGCAGATCATCAGAGGGCAGCCTGTTTCCACTGCGATCTCTGCCCCTAGTACAGTTTCCTCAACACCTGCACAGAAAGGACTAACTTCAGGAGCACCCACTGCAAGTCTACAGCCTTCAGCCTCACAGCCCCCTCGCCCCCAGCAAGGACAGGTGAAGCTTACCATGGCTCAACTCACCCAGTTAACACAGGGCCACGTAAGTAATGTGATTTTAACTTTACAAGTGATCTTACTTACTCTTGCTGTAAGCTTTAAAACACGTACTTATCTTTGGACGTTTAAAAATCTACTTACTTTTTTAAGTGGCTGGTTCCTAGAGTCAACAAAAATACTTTTTTTTCTTTTTTAATAAATTTATTTTATTTCTTTTTGGCTGCGTTGGGTCTTCATTGCTGTACGTGGGCTTTCTCTAGTTGTGGCGAGCAGGACCACTCTTTGTTGTAGTGCATGGGCTTCTCATTGTGGTGGCTTCTCTTTTTGTGGAGCATGGGCTCTAGGCATGCGGGCTTCAGTAGTTTTGGCTCACGGGCTCAGTAGTTGTGGCACACGGGCTTAGTTGCTCCGTGGCATGTGAGATCTTCCCGGACCAGGGCTCGAACCCATGCCCCCTGCATTGGCAGGCAGATTCTTAACCACTGCACCACCAGGGAAGCCCAGGAAAGGCTTTCTTACAGACAGAAAATACTAGCCATAAAGAAAAAGATTTATAAATTCAGCAACCTTAGAAATAAGAACTTCAGTTCATCAAACATTATAAAAGAGTGAAAAGAATGAGGGAAGGTATAAATACAACCAGCCAAGGACTGTTCTGCAGAATACATGAAGAATTACTACTACAAATTAAGAAGGAAAAAAATCCAGATAGCTCGGTAGGAAAAAAGAGCAAACAAACTTGTCGAGAAAAGAGGAAATCTAAACGTCCATAAATCCAAAAAACTGCTGAATTTTGTTAGTAATGAGGGAAATGCATATTAAAACCATATATCTAAGAGATTGGTATAAACTAAAATGTCAGACAAAAATCAAGAGACAGCAAAGACATGGAGCAGAATGAACTCTCATACACACCTGGTAGTATTATAAATTGGTTTAGCCACCTTGGAAAACTGTAGACACTATGTAGCAAAGCTGAAGACACATGCCCCACATCATAGTAGTTCTCCTTCTAGGTATGTTTCCTGGAGAAGTTCTTGTTCGTCTGAGCACCAGGACGATGGACATGAATATATACAGCAGCATTGTTCATAAGAGTCAAAAACTGGGAACAACCCAAATGTCAATCTGCAGTCAATTAGATAAATAAGTTGCCTTCCTACAGCAATGGAAGTGAACAAACAACAGCCACATAGAAGTACATTGCTGAGCTAAATAAAAAAGCAAGTAACAAACAGAATTACATTATGATCTATTTGCATAAGATTCAGAAACAGGCAAAAGTAGCTACATGTGTAGGGTTATGGGCCTGCTGCATTGCCTACCTGGAGGGGACACCATTTGAATTCTTCCTGAATGGTGCTCCTGAAGTTGTGAGTCTGTGGCCCTTAGAGAGCTATACCTAAGTGGTCGCACTATGAAGAACTGCAGTTATTGTAACAGTGAGAGTAGTGCTTACCTCTAGGGCAAAGGAGGGGAATTAAGACCAGAGCAGGTCACATGGGGGCCTTCTTGGATACTGGCAGTGATGACCTGAATGCTGGTTTTATAGACGTTCACTTTATAATTATTCGTTAAACTATACTTGGTGTTGTATGTAGTTTTGACTGTGCACAAAAATGTTTTAGAAAAGCAATAGTGAATAAGGCAGGGGTCCTCAACCGGTTTGCGGCCTGTTAGGAACCAGGCCACACGGCAGGAGGTGAGGGGTGGGCGAGCGAGCGAAGCTTCATCTGCCGTTCCCCACCCACCCCGTGGAAAAATTGTCTTCCATGAAACCAGTCCCTGGTGCCCAAAAGGCTGGGGACTGCTGTAGTAAGGGACTCCTGAGTAAAGTGCATGGAGCTTAACATCACTGTAGGAACTTTGTAGCATCAGTTTTGGCTGTTGGGAACTTAGGGTGGCTTGTTTTTACGTTTGCTTTCTAATTCTCCACCATGTTCCTGATGGTTGAGGATTAAGAAGTCCTGGACAGAAGAGGCAGTGCAGATGGAGTTTTTAATTCCTAGTCGCCATTTGGATGATTACTCAGACATTAGTGACCTTCCTCACATGGTGTTTGCGTTCCATGTCTAGAACCCTAAGCTTTCTATATGTTGGCACACACCAACACACTCCATAGGTCATTTGGTACATAGTGAAAAAACTGAAACTAGAAGACCTGGGCTTCTCATTATATCTCACCTTGAACTTGCCCTCTCACTCGGGGTAAGAGACTTGAACTTTCTAACTTGTGTTTCCTAATTGGTAGCAAGATTGTAGTAATATTTTCTCTCCCTAATCCACAAAGTCACAAGTCTATTGTGAGAATCAAATGAGGCATGTCTAAAGTATGTCTAAAGATGCTTTGAAAGTTATAAAATAATGTGAATATAAATAAGATGATTTAAAAAATCATAATTTGGTGCAGACCTTACTCACTTCACACCCTTATTTTATAGATTGGGAAGTTTAGATCCAGAGGAGCTATGTTACTTATAGACAGATAACCTGGCTGTCCATTTGGAGACCCCAGACTGGAACTCTGGATTGTTAGTTCATGTTTTTTCCACTAAACACCATCAATCTTTTAAAATAAACATTCTTATTTTAGCTTATCTGAATTTTTCTTGATACCATTCCTAGACATTCAAATACATATATTCATTATTTTAAAGGATCTATTCAACATAAAAGTGGTATACTTGCAGATCAATCCTTTGAACACTGTTTACATGTTGTGTGTTTTTTCCGTAGGGTGGCAATCAAGGTTTGACAGTAGTGATTCAAGGACAAGGCCAAACTACTGGACAGTTGCAGTTGATACCTCAAGGGGTGACTATACTTCCCGGTCCAGGACAGCAGCTGATGCAAGCCGCAATGCCAAACGGTACCGTCCAGCGGTTCCTCTTCACCCCACTGGCAACAACGGCCACGGCAACCAGCACCACCACCACCACTGTTTCCACTACAGCAGCAGGTAGAACCTGGGCTTGTCGGAAATGCTGCTTGTTAGTGTCACGGGTTGCTAGGTGACAGAGGGGGCCAGAGGGCTGGTATTTATCTTTGGGAGGATGTGCCTCAAGCTGGTGAGTGTCACAGCTGACTGGTCAGCCTCACAAGAGCTTGACCAGATCTCTTTCTCTGACAGCCTCCCTGTCACCACCACCCCCCATTAAAAACTATAGAAAGCGGGGGGTTGGCACAAAATAGTAAAGTATCTTGGTGACGGTGCCCACTCCTAACTCCTCACCAAGCCTGTAGGAACTGATTGAGTCATGACGTGCTCTCAGGGCAGGTGGGTATTTCCAGCTCATAACCTATGATTGGGAGCTTCAGGACCAGAGCACTTGGTGAGCCTCCTGCTGCAAGCGGCCGTCACTCACTGGCATCACGCCATAGGAGAGAAATGTGGGCTAGCCTTAGCCTGGGCCAGAAGACCTGGCTGATTTCCAGAGACTGCCTTGCTTTGGAAGCCAGCCCTCTGGAGACTTAGCAAAATCTGCAGAGGGCAGCCATGAACAGGGCCCGTGTTCCCCAATTTAGGAGTCCTGACCTAGGTGTTTCTAGATGGAGCATTTCTAGGGCATCAATCTTCTGTACTGAAATGCAGAATTCTCACCTTTAGAAAATCCCCTTCAAATTCTTCTTAAACCACAGTCTCATGTTCTAGAGTAAGAAATATTTGGTCTTTCCTTTTCACAGGTACAAGTGAACAAAGACAGAGTAAATTATCGCCCCTGACACAGGTGCAGCCAGCCAAGAGCCTGCCTCCAGCTCAACCGTCGAGCGTGAGTCCTGCAGAAGCCCAGCCTCAGACTGCTCAGCCCGCACAGCCTCAGCCCCCAACCCAACCCCCGTCCCCAGCTCAGCCTGAAGCCCAGACCCAAGCAACTTCTGCCTCCCACGTCCCTCCTGAAGCACAGCCCACCCAAGCACAGTCCTCCAAACCCCAAGGTGCAGGACAGTGTCAGCCTCAGAGTAATGTCCAAGGACAGTCTCCTGCTCGTGTCCAGAGTCCACCACAGACTCGAATGCGTCCATCAACTCCATCCCAGGTGTCTCCTGGACAGCAGTCCCAGGGTCAGACTACAGCCTCACAGCCGATTCCAATTCAGCCACACACATCTCTTCAGCCACCTTCCCAGGGCCAGCCACAGTCACAACCCCAGGTACAGTCTTCAACTCAAACTCTTTCATCAGGACAAACGTTAAGCCAAGTTACTGTTTCGTCCCCATCCCGTCCTCCGCTCCAAGTACGGCAGCCTCAGCCCCAAGTCCTTGCTGTGCCGCAGCTGCAACAAGTCCAGGTTCTCTCCCAGATCCAGTCACAGGTTGTGGCTCAGATACAGGCTCAGCAAGGTGGTGTGCCCCAGCAGATCAAACTCCAGGTCCCCGTTCAGATGCAGCAAAGCAGCCCTGTGCAGACTCATCAGATTCAGAATGTGGTTACAGTGCAGGCAGCCAGTGTGCAAGAGCAGTTGCAAAGGGTTCAGCAACTCAGGGATCAGCAGCAAAAGAAGAAGCAGCAACAGATAGAAATTAAGCGGGAACACACCCTCCAAGCTTCTAATCAAAGTGAAATCATTCAGAAACAGGTAAAGTTATTAAGTAAAAGCAGCATGTTCAGTAGCTTGAATTATTGTGCTGTGCATTAGACTTAGTGTTTGGTTGTGTTAGCTTTCCTTAAATAAGACACAAAAGTCATTGATGGTTCAAGTTAGAAGCAGCACTGGATTGACCAGAACGTACTGAATGACTGTTATGGTTTGGAACTCTGTTGGATATAAACAGTCAGTGCTTACTGGAAAAACTACGTGTTTTTGGGAGA